TGTTATACTGTCTGCCAGAAGTGACACTTCCTGAACTACCACTACCACCACACTCTCCTCCTTCGATTTTAAGATTTTACTCACATCTCTAATTATCTCAGACAAGATTGGATACTCCCATTTTTGTGCTCCTAAAGACACTCCTTTTTTTGCTCCTAAAATGTGTTGTTTGTACCTTTCTGTTTGTTTTTAATCATCTGAGGTTGTAGGATATTGTATGTACAAGTCTATACTTCCCTTGTGCAATTAATTTGAGAGATTAAGAGCTTCTCATGTGGTCTTCTGCCCATCCCAGTGTTTGACAGAGCTTTCTATAGGCATCTCATAAAGTCTGTACATGGAGCTTGTTCCCTGATGGTTGGTTATGAATGGAAGATTACATGCATGAGGGAAAAAAGAATCAAGATACATTATGTACAGGTACAAATTTCCTATGATGAATTTGATCAAAGAGTACCAAGAAAATTAATTTTAAAAAGCATTAAAAATGCATCCACAACTGAGATGGCTTAGGAGTAACCCAAATTAGTATATTTCAGAATACTTTACAGAATAAAATAATTTTAAAGATTTGTCTTAGGTCAGAAATCCTGAGAACCAAACTGTGAAACACAAATCTATGAGTTGAAAAGATTTTTGGTTGAGTACTCTCAGTATTAGGACCTAGGGAATGAAAGAAGTAGTGATGGAGTAGGGATGTAGGTTCAATCCCCAGTACTGCAAAGAAACACACACAGGCACTCTCTCACTTGTTGGTTACAAACTTGCTAAGAATACCTACCCCTCAGCTTAGGAGCTATCAGGTGAAGCATGAATGAAGCCTCATCCATTTACCCCAGCGACTCATACAAATGTGATCATATCCTGTGTATGCTGGACATAAACCAGGCAGGGAAGTCTGATAGTTCATTCTTCTGTCTCAAGCCAAGAATACTGGTACCTGGGCTTCTTAAAAGATCTCCAGAGGAAATACTTCATCATCCCCTTTGGGAACATGTTGTTCCAATGACTATTTTCCTCAGGTCTACTCTTTTGTTCCCAAAGAACACAAGAAGTTTCTGTAGTTAACAAACATTTTGTAGAGTTTTTATGTGAGATGTAGGCTAAGTTCTTTATTAATACTACCACTAATTTGAAACTTGATATTCAGAGATAAATTCTGATTAAGAACTGACCTTAGAATTATTACTGAAAAGGAAGTTTATTTAGCAGAATAATAGCTGCAAAAGAAACCTAAGGAAGTTATTGCTCCTCAAAGGAACAAACTGCTTTCGAATTCTTGTGTAGTATATACATATTCTCACATAGTAAATAATTGATAAGCTAATTTATTTAAGCAGACCTTCCAAAGATTTCTCCCCCTTATTTTGTTATAATAGTTATAGTAACCTTTATGTTGTGAAATATGTTTGGAAATACAGACTGTTCGTTTATACTTACACCATCCATTATAATATTTTCTAACTACATGTGGCTGTTGAGCACTTGAAATCTATACCACAGGTATAAAATACACTCTGAATTTGAAGGCTTAATGTGAAAAAAATAAAATGTCAAAAAATTTTTGACGGCACATTGGAATGATAATAGTTTAGATATATGGAGTTAAAATATTAAAATTAACTTCATCTTTCTTTACTTCTTAAATGTGAATGCTAGACAGTTTAAAACCAAATGTGGCTTATATGATACGCCATCAAGCAGCACTCTACGTACAGCTTTCTTCAGACATTCCAGACTGGACTTCAGCATACCTTTGTTGTTATCCCACAACATGATGCCACAGGGCTAGCTCTTCCCAACAGGTGAAGCTAGTACCATAGTCCCTGCCCTTAGCAATATGAGCCTTTGTAGCTTTGAAAGAGGGAGGCCTAACCAACTATTTTCTATTGCTAAAAAACAAAAAAAACTCAAAATCCTAAAAATTCTTCCTCCCCCAGCTTCATTCTGAATTAATAGTTCTTTGGGTTTTTTTTTTTTCTTTTGGAGTCACACTCCAGGTTTCAGAAGTGTAATTGTATATATAGGCATGGTCCTTAAGTTTGGACAAATCTGGGTTTAACTTGTGATGCCACTATCTGTATGTGTAACTCTATGTCCTTGGACAAATGAATTAAATTCTCTCTCTTAATTTTTTCACATGTAACTATCTCACAAAATCACTAGAATTAGATGAAATATACGTGCAGAGGCCTAGAAATACACCTAGTGTATGTATACTGCATATGACGTATTCTAATTTTCTGATTTCTTCTTTGGTTAGGCAATTAGGGAAATATGTATATAGGAACACTGGAGACAAATTGAATAGTATTCAGCTACTGTGCCTTTAAAATCTAGAATTAAATAAAAAGTTTCCTGGTTTTATTATAATTTAATCATGTAAACAATCGATATATACAAACTAGGATAGCGTCTTAAATTTTTTCTTTGATAATGTTATAATTTATTTAAATGGAAAGATTTCCTACAATTCTATTGTAATAGAATTTTACTTAGGTTACAAATTTTATACAAATGTAGATATACATGGATATATAATGCATGCTCCCTACCTTATTTCAGAAAATAATCCAGGCAACTAAAATTTTATAGGATTTGATAGATATAACTGCTAACAATGTTTTTTTCATTTTGGAAGAAAATTGAAATAAAAATTATAATAGTTCCCCAGATTTGAAATTCTTCCAAGAGTGTAATAAAATTTAAATGATTCTACCTGAAGTTTTAGATTAATTCAGAATTTGAAGTATAATGGCAAATACTGGAAGTCTAGAAATCATAAGTAGAGTATAACAGTCAAAGGAATAATAAAGAAAATTTCCCAGAGCTAAAGAAATGCTTTGGCCAGGAGATTGAAAAAGATCTGACAAGTAGGCCGAATGTAAAAAAGACCCATCCCTAAGAATTTCACAGAAAGCTTTCAGAACTTCAAGGATAAGGAGGAAACTCCTTTTTCCAAAAAGACCAAAAAAATAAACAACAAAACCCAAAGTTTGTTTATAAGATAATCGTCATTAAATTTCTCATTAGTAGAACTGAGGGCCTGGATACGTTTGTGTTTATTTTCAAATTTCTGTCAGAAAATTACGTTGAACTATAATTTTACTCTCAAGCAAATTAACATTCAAATGGGAAGATAAAATATCTGGAGATATGCAAGAATTCAGGTCTACCTGCAGGCCCCCTTTCCTCCCACTCTCAAGTATTTATTTTATATACACATTCCACAACTTAATAAATGTAGAATGACTTTTTAAATAACTCTTGGATTAACAGTGAAATAGAAAACCAAAATTCAAATGTTTTAGATAATGCTTGAAAATTTTCCAAATATCACCCTGAGAAAGTGAGATAAAATTGTATTCAGAGGAAGTATAATTACTAGAAAATAAAACAGTAAATTATCTAAAGTATACAATTCAAGAAGCTAGAAAAAGAACATCAAGACATACCTTAAGAAAGGAAAGGGATCCATAAGGATAAAAGAAGAGATTAACAACATATTAAAACAGATTTTGTCAGTGAAACCATAGTATACTTCTTTAAAACAGTGAAGTAATCTCATATTCAGTAAGCTTGATCCAGAATGAATGAAAAAAATGTTAACATGTACAAAATAAGAATTATAATACAACTAAAGATACAGAAGAAGAGTGATTTTAAAAAATGTAGGAGTACTGTATACAATTTTGTAAATTGGAAATCTGGACAAAGTTTTCTGTTGCTGTCAAAAAATTACCATAAATTTAGTGGTTTAACAATACAAATGTACTATTTAAAGGTTACATAGGTCAGAATTCTGACATAGGTCTCACCAGGCTAGAGTCCAGGTGTCAAGAGGCTCTAGAGGAGCTTTTTTGCAACATCGGCAGAATTCTATTCACTGTAAGCATAGGATAAAAGTCCCCTTTTCCTCGTTGACTGTTAATTGAGGATTCTTCTCAGCTTCTAGAACATTTGTGGGCTCATGACCCTTTTTTTCCATCTGCAAAGCTAGCAATGCTAGGTCAAGTCCCTCTCATGCTTCAACTGACTTCTTTTTCTTCCTTATTCAAATCTCTGAGTCACTATTCTGCCTTCTTCTAAGATTGGCCAACCATGATAACCCAGATATTTTCTTTAACATTAATTATATCTTTAACCTTAATGAGACCTCCAAAGTCTCTTTTGCCTTGTATGGTAATATTTTCGTAAACTCCGGGAATTAAGGGCATAGGCATTATTCTGACTGTCATGTACATGGCTTTTTTTTTTTTTTTAAGGAAGATATAATCCAATAGCAATCAACCCAGGAAGTAGTAGAAAAACTTAATAGGAGGGGGGAAAAAAAGGAAAATCCAAAAAGTCATCATAATAATGCCCTTTAAAAGTCACTAGTCCCATTAAGTTGTATAGGTAGATAATCCAAATCTTGAAGGGACAGATAAATTCTGTTATATAAACTTAGAAAAAGATGGAATTTTTATTTTGTGAAAACCCATGTTCTTGTAAATCAAAGTACTTTGGCTTCTTAGATTTATCTTTTGTTCTGTGGGCTTTTAAAACTAATTTTAAATTCAAAGTTGAATAGACATTCCTATTGTTTTAGATGTATCTTCCATCACCTCCAAAGGCAGTTAAAGCTATTGCCTTAAGCAGAGGAGCAGTGAAAAATTCATGAGAGGAGAAAATGAAAAACTTAGGTTTATAATAAATACCTAAATTATATCTCAGTATTCATCTTAGGGTAAGAAATGCCTTCCTAAGCAGGACACTGAAAACAGAAGCCATAAAAGAAAGCCATCTCATTAAGAACAGCAAGCTTTGTTACACTTTAACACAGCAGCATCTTTGTTGACAGTGTGAATAAAGGTGTATCATGATCATCATTCATTTTTTCTAATACTTTTGCTTATATTCTGTCTTTCTTAGTACATGTTTGCAGTATTAAAAGTAATAGATTCAGTAGCTTAATGAAAGTCTCTGATATTTTAACTGCTACTTAATTTTTCTTACAGGACAAAGTTCTAAAAACATCAGTTCATCTCCAAGCATTGAAAGTTTGCCTGGGGGAAGAGAATTTATGGGCTCTCCACCTTCATCTGCTACTAAAAAAGATTCTTTTTTTAGCAACATCTCACGTTCCCGCTCCCATAGCAAAACTATGGGCAGAAAAGAATCTGTAAGTATTTAAAGACAGTCTGTTTTTTATCCTTCATTTTCCTCTGAAGTACTGCATTTATGAAAGTACCTAAAGTTTTTCAAATTTTATAGAACTTCTTATGGGCTACAACAAATCATTTTATCAAAAGTATATTAATTTGATCATTCAAATTAACTACTATTTTAAGGCTATGATCTGTATTAAATAGAAAAAAAAGCATTAACTTAAATAGGTTTAATCTTTCCAAAATTCCCAATCCTTTGGTCCTCTACCTTTTGGCCAAAGTCTATGATTTTTTTCTAAAAGTTTCTAATAATATGCAAACATTTCTAATAACATACAAATGAATAATTATACTACCTGAAATAAGCTGAGCTGATTTTTCCATTTTAAGTATTTCTTGAAAATTAAAAAGTGATTTTACCATTTATTTTTAAAATATATGTAAACTATATTCATGGAATGGTGTTTTGATAGTTGCACCATAAAGATTATTTGTACAGTATGTATTTCTCAAAAGAACATATCTAAAAAAATCAACTACCATATTATATCTAGTTCAACACCTCATTCTAATATAAATATAAATATGAAGAACTAATTTGCCTCCCAGAAAAGGATAAAATGTAAAAGTAATACAAAATCTAGCTAGAGCTGAAATGATCCTAAAGTAGAAAAATAGCTATATAACCTTAGAATGATAATTTTTTAAGGTGCATGGAATAAGTGATACCATTATATCTGTCTGTATGACTTTGGATTTTCTTGAGTAAGACAGCCAGCTTCCTGGTGTTTCAATTACCTCTGCAAATTGAAAAATACGCAGCTACACAATGTATAATGATGGGGATATGTTCTGAGAAGTGCATTCTTTAGTCATTTTGTTGTTGTGTGAACACCGTGGCATGTACTTTCACAAACTCAACTGCAGTATAACTAGGTGATATAATCTTATGGGACAGTTGTCATATATGTGATCTGTCTTTTGAACAAAGCATCATTATGTAGCACATGAATGTACTTTGCTCTCTGGAAGGAAAGAGTTAACTATTTTAGGCTCTTTTAGGGTCCCACTCATTGTGTAGGAACTGTGTGATTCTATAATTTATAGAAGGGCAGAATGGAACTTTAATTTACAGATGGCGCCTAAAGGTAGTTAAAGATAAACCCTCAAAGAATAAGAAAACATAAGAGAAGACAGCAGCAACAAATTTAGTTAATTGGAAATAAGGTTGCATTGATAACTAAGCAACACCAGAAATCTGAACCATGAGTCAGCAGTAGGTAAAATCCAAGAAGCAACTTGATTTACCCTGTATTCTTACTGCAGAAGCCTGGGAACTGGGAATGAGGATGAAGGTACACCCGAAGATAGAATTGGTTGAAGTTTTTGTTGTGGTTCTTGTTTCAAGAATTAGATTGTTTTTCCCACTCTAGCAGAAGACTATACGTTTAATTTTCAAAAAATGTGTAAAAAAAAAAATGTCTGTGGACTGAGACATCAGGAATATACTACTCTGAGACTTCCCTGCTGGAAAAGGAGTGATGAATATATTAAAATGCTAAATATGAGGACTTCCTTGCCAACCTCATCTTCTTTCCAGAGTACCAGAAAATATATATATATATATATGGAGAGAGAGAGAGAGAGAGATATCACCAGGCAGGAGATTGGAGGGGTTTTCTTTGGGCAAAAGATACACACAAACACACATACACATGCCCGCAACGCTCCGCAAACATAATGGCCTTAACCACTAGATCATCTTACAATGGACCCAATCATTAACAAGCCCCATACAAACCCAGAACTTCCTCTTAGCTTTATAGTTCACACAGTTTTGTATGTGCAAGACAGCTAAGAATCATCAGCCACTTGTAAAGAGTGTATGGTAATGAAAGACAAATACAAATAGAACAAAGCAAGTAGGAAGAAACAAAACTATTTAGGGGAAGAAAACTTCAGAAAAAAATATATTCAGTTATCTCTCAGTATTTAAGGGGGATTGGTTCAAGGACCTCTCCACTGACACTAAAATCTGTGAATGTTCAAGTTCCTCTAGAAAATGCTGTATTTGCATATAACCTGTGCACATCCTTCTATATTCTTTAAATCATCTCTAGATTACTTTTGATACCTAATACAATGTAAAAGCTATGTAAGTAATTATACTTTATTGTTTAGGGAATCATGACAAGAAAAAAATATTTTCAAGTGGCAGTTGGTTAAATCCACAGATATGGAGAGCTGACTGTAATTCTTTCAGAGAGGGGTAAAGGGGGATAGTAAAATTAATATATGATATCCAAAATGTAAAGCTCAGAATTCATTGGAAGAGTTGGAAGATAAAATTAAAGAAAGTTCCCCAGAAAACAGAATATAAGACAAAAAAATATGAAACTTAATTGACCTAAGAGGTTGAACTTTTATAGGAGTTCCAGAGAGAATAGAGGAAAAAAAGGGGAGGAAATAAAACATATAATGCCACTAATAAAAGACCTGAATCTGAAGATTCTACAGCTACAGTTGAAAATGGATCTGAATTATTGATAGCTTTATAAAGACTTTTTAAAAAAGACAATTAGTAATCCCAAAGAAAAACAAAGTATGTATAGGGAAAGAAAGGTTATGTTAACCCATATAACTAAGCTGTAACTGGAATTTACATAGACGTTATTTTGTCAGCCTATTGACTATCAATCTAGTCAAAATCATGTTCTAACTATTGAGAAGGTACACTGTGTGAGCTGTAAGTTTATATAGAAGATGAGGGAACAGGTGAGTGGTAGGCAGTTGACCTAAAACTCCTTCCTCCCATAATGAGGAATCAATGGAGAATACTCAGGAAAAATTAAGAAGTAGCAATATAAGCTAGAGGTATAGTGGTGGAAAACAAAACCAGACTGTAAAAGAACTGAAAATGCTTGCTTCTGGGAAGCAGAAAGTGGAGGGTGGAGTTGTGGGAACTGTGGTTCATAACGAACTTTGTAGAATCGTTTGAGTCTTCAAATGTTCATATATAACTTAGATTTAAAAGAACAACTAAAAATTACAACAAAAATAGAATGCATTGGCTATTAGAAGAGGACAATTATCTGTACAAAGAACATGTATCTGAAAAGCCAGAATAAGGAAATAAATAGGAAAGGCATATGGAGACATGTTTAATTTGCATTTTATTATATTTTGGTACCATAGATATTAATCTACATTATCAGTTAATTCTCTTGATGATGATACTATAACTTAAAACTGAAAAGTTCATCAAAAATAAAAATAGAGTAAGTTTAATTTCCTACATACATGAACATGAGTTATCATTCACAACTTATATCCGCTAACTTGTGTGAGGAAGTAGACATATTTTTTTTTAAGTTCATGGTTTTCTAAGTGATACAGTAGTTTTATTTAATGAAATAATGTATGGTAGTAATGTACGGTACTCATTGCTCTTCAGCATTATGCCTTCTTGTTCTCTTTGATTTGTCAGAGTCATATGACTAGCTCTATCCAGTGAATTTTAAGTGGAGGTGCCACCACAAAACCCTCCACAAGTATCTTTCTCTCTGGTAGAATGAGCAGAGCCTACCTGCTAACCCAGGAAGTACAACCTGAAGTAAGAGAAGTCAGCTTTCTAAACTTTTGAGACTGATGGTTATCACAGTCTAACAGTACACAGTTGGAAAATGCTCAGGCCCACAGCTGGGTATCTTTCTTCCATGGGAGCTACCTATTACCAACAAAGTAGAGCCTATAACTGGGTACCTACCATCCCTGGGTCCACTTTGTTTTTGTTTCCAGGCCAGTTTGGTGTGAGACACAGATTATCTGTGTCCTCAAAAAAGCTCAAGATTGTTTTCATTAAAGTCATCTTCATCAGATTCTCACAGAAATTAAAGCAAAGACATCTCTTACTTTGGGCCCTCTGTGCCTGAAACTATATGACATTTTCAGTTTTTAAAATACAGTTCATCTTTTAAAGTGGCCCAGCATCAAGAGATTGTTGATGTTAATTAGCAAAAGCTAAAATAGGAATTGAAAAGAGACATAAAGCCAAAGATAAGCTAGTTGTAGCTTACAACTAGCTTATCTTTGTGTGGTGAAATCTGCATGTAATGGTGTTTTGAAAATGATTTTCAAAATAAGTATAGGTGTGATATATCCTATACATTCATCCCATTTATGTTGTAGAACTTGTTTCCCTTTCAATATTGCTTGTTTATCATATAAAAGCTTTCTGTAACCCATAAGCTATCTTTTTTAGAAGAAGATATATCATACTTCTGTCAATACCATTGATTAGCTATATAATAAAAGAAAGCAAAATTCAGCTAAATATTTAAAGAGGTAGTAAATTAAGCCTTGTGCAGATATTTATAAAAGACATCATTATGCTTCTTTACTGAAATGTGAACAAAGTAGTAGAAAGTTTTAAAAATGAACTTGACTACTATCAATAGTACCATTGTTTTGAGGGTTGGTATTTACTCACAAAGTTAATTTTTCTTCTGTCTTGTTTCCCAAAAGAGCTGTTAGGACTCACTTAATTCAGACAAGCTTTGATTAAGGCCTGATTTGTTTTGTCTTAAAGAAAAATTTTATTTGAAACTTAAGTGCGGTTAATTTTTATGCTTTATTTTGCATGAAAATATAAATGGCACCCAATACTTAATCTACCTAGTTGGTCATTTATCTGACTGTTAAATAGATTTTTACTTGTTTTAGCACTGTTAGTCGTATTTTATGATTATTGCCAAATTGTTTTCTAGGAATATCTTTGCTAATGCTAAAGGTACAGAAAATAATGAATATAAGAAAAACTTTAAAATTTATTCATTTGAATTAGCTGTAATATTTAAAGTACATGACCCAACAAAAATTTGTTCATGTTTTTTAATTTCTGACAAACTACAAGACATCTTTCTATTCATTGTGATAACTACATACCGATTTCCAGAAGTCTATCCATGGTTCAAAATCTTTTATAAATAATAGGAAATTTTTTTTTAAATGAACT